GTCTTCTCTGTTCTTATTCTTTTGTAAATAATCTTATGTCCATCGTTGTTCACTTTATAATGGCAATTATAAGATGCAAAGACTGGTAAATGGTCACTTATATCATTGATTAACAGCCCACTTTTTATCTTTCCTTCTATTATATTTGTAAATATATTATCTAATAGAGTTATTCTGGTCGGTCTTGTTATCAGTGGAAATAAACCGATGCTGTACATGGAATCAATAAATTCTTCTGTACTCTTATTATGATTTGGATTCAATAAGTCAATATTAAAGTCCCCACAAATAAATATTCTTTTCTGATTTATATTTGTAAATAAGTCCTCCATATTATCCTTAAATATCTCAATCTTAGATCCTGGTGTTCTATATATACAACTGACAATTAGGTTTTTCCTTTTTTCCATACTTATTTCCACTGATAAACATTCCATCACTCCATCAATAACAGTTGTCATTCTTCCCATTCTTTTGTGCTTTAGGTTTTTATCAATGTACAGTGCCACCCCACCTCCTTTCTTGTTGATCCTGTCTACATGAAGGAATTCATATCCATTTATTTTAAAGTCTTCTTTTCCAGGAGTTATCCAGGTCTCCGATATGGCTATCACATTGAATGGCTGTTCAAACTGTGTTATGTAGTCTTTGATGGATTGAAAGCTTGCATATAAGCTTCGACTATTAAAGTGAACCATTGCTATACCTTGTTCTACCTTGAATTCCTTTTTAAGTTGCTCATTTGTATAATAATTGCATTCATTTGTCTTATTATTGAAGAAATTACAATCAGGATCTATGTTGCTGTCATACATCAATGTCTTATTTTCAATATCTATATGAGTTGTTAGTTGAAAATTGACGGTCCCATCATATTTAGCACTGCTTTGCATTTATCAGTTATATTTTTCTAGTTCCGTCATCTCTTTGATGAAATCTAAAATTTATCTAAAATAGACATTTATCTAAAATATAACCGGGCACTGACGTAAACTCTCGACCGTCTCACACTTCTGCTTAATCATTTTCTGTTTATTCAGCTGTGTGAAAACCCCGGAGGAACCCTCCCGAGGGATTAATAAAGTTTCATTTAATCTAATCTAATAACTTTAATC